AAGGAGTGTCCACCGTGGACGCACCCGTCTCCGGGGGTGGGGCTTCATACCTGTGCGTCGATCAAGACCAGTTTTTTAACGGCTTCCGGGTAGGTGTGGGCAAAATCCACGGCGGCCGCACCTCCCAAGGAGGCACCCACCAAGACCATCGGGCGTTCTTTGAGGACGTGCACCCAGAACGCGTGCAAATATTCGCGTTTGGCCTCTGCGGAGAAATCTTGCACCCCTCGGAGTTGACTGAACCCCCACCCCATCATATCTACTGCATAAGCGTCCAAATAGGGAGAGAGGAGGGGATGGAGGCGTCGGTACTCCAGACAGGAAGAATCGAAGCCGTGGAGAAGGAGGACGGGAGGGTGGGAGGAGGAGGTGGAGGAGGGGGAGGAAGGAAGGGGGGCAACCCCTGTGGCGCGGACGTAGCCGGTGGGCGAGATGGAGGTAGAAACGGGAAGATCCCATGACCGCATGGCTGTGTACGAGGTGACAAGGAGGGGCAAAGACAGGATGGAGGGGTTGAGAATGTGTGTGATGTCTTCGCGGTGTGCCTCGCGAACGCACGGGTGGAAATGTGCGCGACAGACAGGGTGGTGAGTGGCATAGACATGGGAGGTGGTACTGAAGACCTGGAAGGGAAACGTATGACGAGGCATGTACGATCAAGACAGAAATAGAAGTCATGTTGAAGCCCACCTTGAAGCATGTCTCTGCAGGCTATCTCTTCGATCTCATCGAGAAATCGTTGAGGGACATCCTCAAAGCCATGGGAAAAACCTTCATCATATGGCCGATTTGGGGTGGAGGAGGAGGAAGAGGAAAGAACCTGCAAAGTTGGTCGTTGGTGCCGTGGATGATACGGTTGTATGGACGAGGACGCCGTAGGACGGACGAAGGCGTGAGGAGGGCTAAAGACGGTGCAAAAGGAGGAAAAGGAGGGGAGGGACGGAGAGGAGGGGAAGGTCGGGTCCCGACATGGCAAGCATGGGGAGGAAAACGCCTGCGTTCGAAGCACGGGGCCAATCAGGAAAAAACACAATGGCAGCCAGTCAGCACCGCGCATCCTGGCAAACATTCGAGCGGTTCCTGTTTGTATTGTCGGGTGGGAGGGCGTCTCGTCAGTTTTAAAGGCAGGTAGGAAGGGGCAAAGCGTCACATTTTATGATCTTTGCGCCCGGTGGCCCGGGACCCGAAGGGCTGCCCGCTGCCCCTCCCTTCCAAATGCCAACTCGTGCCACCCCCGCGGCGCCTGCCGGGATCTGTGACATGCACGTGGGGCTCCGTGGTGGTTGGAAGGAGGTGAATGGGGAAGGGCGTGCGTGTTTTGGTCGATCGTACCAGGTCTTGTTTTTCCGCTTACGACGAGAGCCTCCTTGCTTCTTGCTCATCCGCCTCGTGCATCTCCTTGGGAATGAGGTGCCGTTTATTACATGCACACACGCCTTCAATTACCCCTTCGCACATCGCCACGATACCTACAGATAACGATGACTTTCTCCCGTGCTTGGCTCAATGCCTTGGAACAGATGCCGCGGTCGCAGGTAATGGATTCAATCGCACGGGGAGGATTGAGAAACCAGATGGGGTTCACGCGTGAGGCTTGGAGTCCAAAGGGAGGCAATTCGCGCGCGATCTCATTCAACCTCTTTTGATTAATCTATATATATATATATATATACATATATGTCTCAGGCCATCATAGGTGGACTCGGAGTTTCTCTCGTGGCGTCGGCCATTCTGTATGTGGGAGTGAACCGAGGCCGTAAGTCAGAACCGGAGGGGATAAGGCGGGCGACTGGTTTCGGGGTTGGTGCGCATGGGTTGCTAATCTCCTGATACACCGAGATTGACACATTCTGCATGGCGTAGAAAGGCAGCGCAAGAAAAGGGGAGGCATGTGATGAAGGACACGTTTCATAGCCCATCTCGTCCTTCTCC